TATATGTATATATGTATATATATATACACATATGTATATACACGTATATATATATATGACAGAAAGAGGGTTAGTGTGGTCCTTTGTCATTTGTAGCTCACTTGCTTGATGCCTTCTGTCTTTTGTGTGTCGTGGACTATTTCATCTTCTATGATGCCCCTCAGTCTTGCCACCCTGCCTTGGAGCCAGCCGGTTATGGACTGAAACCTCACGAACTGTGAGCCAAATAAACCCTTCTTCCTTTAACTTTGGATGTTGGGTATGTCTCAGCAATGAAAAAGTAACTAAGATAAGAGATCCTTTTCAAATGCGAAGGGGAACAAGAAATGGAGGGAGGAAGGTGTGGGACTGTACGATTCCAAATTCAATTACTCCCCTAGCCTCTGTTGTGTTTAAAAATTAATGGTTAAAATATGCTTGTTAGTTCTGGGATAACAGATAAAATCTGTAACAAAACAAAGTTCCTAAGTAAATTACTCAACCCCTTGTTTGTCCGGAGAACGAATGTTCCCGGACCCACTGTCGGTAGAACAATCCATCAGTGTGTCTGCTGACCATCAGTACGTGACGGTCGTGACCATATGGTCGTGACCATTACTGTGTGTGTCTGCTGACCATCAGAACGTGACAATCGACCACTAACCTTTGTTCCTTTTTTTTCGTACATCTACATGTTAAACTCCCCCTCAACCCCCTATAAAACAGCCTCGGACTCTGAGGCAGTTGCCTCTCTAAGCTATTTTGCTTTGGGAGTGCCGTCTGGCCAAACTAATAAAGGTCTGTTTCATTTTCCAACTTGTCTGGTGTGTTCCTTCCCGGGTGCTGGTCGCTGCAGTCAGCTCCTCGGAGTGTTTGGTAAGGCCCACGGTCTTACAGAAGGAAGGAAGGGAAAAGGGATAAAAAGAGAATTGAAGAAAAAAATGGAACTAGAGCTTTTACAAATGAAAAGGGGAACAATGGTTGGAGGGAGCAGGAGAGATAGGATAAGGGGAAAAAAGAATAGTTTGTGGGCCAGCGATTTAGCTCAGTGGTTCCGCCGCCTGCCCCGCAAGCGCAAGGCCCCGAGTTTGATCCCCAAAGAATAGTTTGTACATGTACAAACTACCCACAATATATGTAATCATTAGGCACTGCAAGCATGTACTAATAAAAAAGAAAAATATTTGTGTCATGTAACAATATATCCTATGTTCCAAGAACAAAAAGTTAATTACGAAGCATAGCTAAAATACTCTCCACTTTCAAATAAAATATGCTACTTGTGTAAATACACTATTAGTTTTTCTAAGATCATTTAAAGTTTGTTTTTATCAAAATCAACAAACATCATTAAGAATCTACCCAAAGCCAAAATCCATGCTAAGCTGAGTAAGGGGAAAAGCAGCAGTAACTGTGCACCTATCCCACAGATGATGTTGGAATGTTGGGATGATGAGGCTGATATTTATGAAACAAGAGTCACAAGAAAGGTCATAAGTAAGCACTGAATTGCATGTGATAGCTCGTAGACGAACTGTAGGAATTCTGGGAAGGAAGATTAATGAGTTGTAGGGTGGTCAAAGAGAGTTGTACCCTAAAGGGAAAAAAATTTAAGTTACTACGTTACTATATGTATGATTTTTGGGGGCTGGGGATGTAGCTCAGTGGTTTCGCCGCCTGCTGTGCAAGCGAAAGGACCTGAGTTCGATCTCCGGTACCAAAAATAAAAAAAATTTTAAAAAAAGGATTTTTGGTTAAGTTAGTTAACCTCTCAGTATTACTGTTTCTTCTTTTATAAAATTTGACAAGTAGGGCTGGGGATTTAGCTCAGTGGCACTGTGCCTGCCTTGCAAGCACAAGGTCCTGAGTTTGATACCCCATACAAAAAAAATTGTTTTTGACAAATAAGTGCATGAAAAATGCCTCACATACTCTAAGGTAAGATAGGTTTGTGGTAGGTCTTAAGGAATGGGAAGCAGCTGCCTAGAGAAAGAATGTCTCAGAGAGGACATGTCCTAGAAAAGAGACACATGTGACTTTTAAGACCTAAAACGTAAAGAAGAAATTCCACATATAATAGCCCTAATATAATAACTATATTTTCCTGTGGCAAATACAAACCATATACATCTATTTTTTTTTCTTGCATGGCAAAATAACTCCCTAAGTAGGTGAGCCTCAGTGAAGATTAAAATTCTAGAGTTTCTCCTTTAAAGCAAAGATTCTTTTAAAAACGATAGGACATGGAATATACTTATCTGCTTTTTCTTTTAAAATCCTTGCCTTTCACTGACCCTCCTCCCCGTGAGTACTTACTCAAAATCAAGCATAACCTGGATTCTCTACCCCTCATAAGAATTATAACCAGAATCAAACCTGTTTTTTAAGTAATTACAAAAGAAAAAACTTAAGTTTTTCCTCATTTTCTCTTTATATATTTAGTCAAATATTCCACATCACAGTTTTTCAAATGTACTGAAATAAAGAGAATGAATAATTCTTCCAAAACATCTCAAAGCTAGCCAGGAAAGTTATATTTAGTTATGCTCTGATTACATTTATGTATAAAACCTGTCAGTGGAATTTTTTCAAACATTAACAGAGTACTTATACATGTACAGACATCATAATGGTGACTGATAAACAAAGTCACATCTTCTAGGACTGATCAAAGTCTAGAACTCCTTTTTGTTTAAAAAAAAACCCAGAAAGCATATTGCAGTAATGAAAGTTTCCACTTCAGGCTAAATTAAAACTTTCAAGTATCAAAATAGGTGATTTCATGGCAATTAGAGGTAGGCCTTGTGGAAAGTTTCATTATTCATGTGAAAAGTAATTCAAAGATCATAAGATCCATACATATTCCTTTTCTGTTTGTTTTTTGAGGTCTTGCTATGTAGTTCAAGCTGGCCTTGAACTATGTAGCCCAGGCTGGTTTTGAACTTGAAGCTATCCTCCTACTCTGGGACTATATCTGTGAACCACTACTCCTGGTCTATACATATTTCTTGCAGAAAGAAATAAAGTAAGGTCTAGAATCATTACTTTGGCTTTTCCAGAAAGAAAGGAAGGACTGGAAATGGTGGTCTAAGGCTCTGTTTTATAAGCTCACCCAAATATGGTGATTTTCCCAAAGTTTGTCATGCAGTGTAACCACACAAATGTAAGTCATTTGTAAAGACAAAATTGTTTCTGTGGATTTCCTATGCTTTTAGAGTTTCTCTCTCTCTCTCTCTCTCTCTCTCTCTCTCTCTCTCTCTGAGAGAGAGAGAGAGAGAGAGAAATTTATCCTCCTAATTAGGTCTTTGTTACCACATAAAGCAGCCCTCTGGCTTTCCAGTTGCATATTGACAGGGAGGAAAGAAAAGTGACAATCCATGTTTACTTCCCACCTTCTTATCTGCAAGCACCAGGTTGCAAGCAGAAGAAACTATTCTGCTTATTTTCTCCCTTATTTAACAGTTTCATAATCTATGGAATATTCTGTACAGTAGTGTCGGAGGCTTTACGCAAACAGATAAATATAACCATGACCATGTCGTCTTGCTGTTCATCTTCTCTAATTTCTTTTGTGGTACATTTGGGCTTTAATTTTGTTTTTCTGTGTTTTTTCTAAATATGTTTCTGATCTTGATATCCAAAGAGTCTCAAGCTGTAGAAATTCACAGCTTTTGGGAAGGACCTCATGGGAAGGAAGGCGCTGTCTTCAGAAACAATCTGAGCCACTGCATATAAGCCACCAAACTTACCCCATGCTGTAGGGATTTCATGTTGCATTGGCAACAATTTTAACACACATGTAATAGCTTAAAATGACACAAATTTAATGTCTTATAGTTCTGGAAGTTAGACATCACAAAATCAAGGTTTTCCTTTGGGAGCTTTAAGGGGGAATCCACTTTCTTACCCTTTTAGCTTCTAGAGCCTGTCTTCATTCCTAGAGTTTTAGTTCCTTTCTCCATTTTTCAACACTAGAAGTATAAAACTTTTCCTCTCACCTCTTTCCCTCTCCTTCTCCCTCCTGCTATGGTCAGCCTGACTCAAGCTCCTGGGAAACACTGCTTTTTGCATGTAATCCCAAACCTGATCCTCATATAAATGCTTTTCTGCTTTCCAAAAGCCTTGGAAAGTGGTACCTGAGACACTAAAATGTCTACCTCCTCCCAAGTTACTAGCATGGTCAATAAAGCCTACTTTCTCCCAACACTCCTCTCAGGCACTGGTTTTCATGCAGAGCAAGAGTGGGTTGAGTAACAAGTTAACAAATGAAAATAACATCTTTCTCAAATAAACTCTGAGCTGATTGCCTTGATAGATATTTCATTAAAGCCAATTTTTTTTTCCCTGACAGAACTGACTGCATTAAGATTATGGGACTGGAAATACCTAGCATTTATTTGCAGCGAGGAGGCACCAAGCTGGACTTAAACTGATCCTGGCTTAAGTCCTGCCAATGTTATGCACCACAGGTTCTTACTTGATGCAGATTGTAAACTAAAGAGCAGCACTGAATAATATGAATAGCAAAACCCAGTAAAATCAGAAGCTAACAGTGACACTTTTATGTCACTTCCACTTAAGTAAAGGGAAATATCTCGCTATTCATCTTAGTTAAAAATAGACTTTTGCTCCTAGCTATATGGAGTAACAGAGACTACATTTACCTCCCTGCCTAAAACTGAAAACCAGAAAAACGTTTTCAGCATCGGAGAGCAGGCAGTGTAAGGGCTATGATCCCTACAACCGCTCCAGGAAACATGCGGGGGGAAGTTTCCAGAAGCATTGGAAGCAGGGTCGTCATTGTTTCACTATCTGGGGCGACCTACGTTGATTTACGTAAATGCTTACAAATGCAGTCCCAACTGGCTACATCCACTGAAGCAAAAGAGAATTCGCGGGGCTAATAGGCAGCGGTGGATCCAATCCCGAGGCCCAGCCAGTTCTCGCGAGCCTGTGAGATCTGCGGTGCTGACATCACCGCCCCGGAGACACTTGCGAGGGTCTCTGTGATTGGCGTAGGACGCCGTTTCCCCGCGAGCGCGGTCTCCTGACGTCACCTCGCCACTGACGCTTGCGAGACCTGTGGTGTTGGGTGTCTGTGCTCTTCCTCCGGAGTGCGTCTCTGAGAGGAAAACAGACCTTTTCCTACTACTAGCAAGAGCAGCTTGGACGGGTTGGAGAGGACTCCTCTCCCTCAAACCTGTAGCCTTATCGTTCCTGGCCACGCCCCGGGAGACCCGGACCGGTGCCTGACGCTCCGCGAGGAAGAAGAGGCGACACAGGTGATGGCGGAGATCGGTGAGGGAAGCGAGAAGTCGCCCCAGCTGTCGGAGGAGGCGGGCGTCCCCGGCGACCCCACGGACTGTGGCCGTGCTTCCCAGGCCCGAGTTAACGGGGCTCTCGATCGCGCCGAGTCCGAGGTCGGGCGACAGGAGGCGCCGCCTTCCATTGGGGGGCTAGACGCAGCCGCAGAGTTGGTGGCCACCGACCGCAAAACTGGCGCTCCGGGTGGGGAGGAGGTCCTGGAAACCTGCGGCGCAGAGAGATCCGCGTCTGAGGTGACGGGGAAAGGGAAGGGCGAGAAAGCAAAGGCTGAAAAGTGCGCCATCACCTCTGTTGCGGTGGAAGAAGAGGTGGGGTCTGAAGTGGTGATGGCGGAGAGCGTGGAGGAGGAGGCTGTGGAGGCGGCAGTGGAGAAGGAAGTGCCAGTAGGTGAGGAAATGGAAGTGGCCAAGGAAGATAAAGTCACAGGGACGGTGAAGGAGGCAAGGCCCTGGCCCCTAAATATGAATCTGCGCATGGATCCTTTGGAAGCCATCCAGCTGGAACTGGACACTGTGAATGCTCAGGCGGACAGGGCCTTCCAACAGCTGGAGCAGAAGTTCGGGCGGATGCGTCGACATTACCTGGAGCGAAGGAACTACATCATTCAGAGTATCCCGGGCTTCTGGATGACCGCCTTTAGGAACCACCCCCAGCTGTCTCACATGGTTAGGGGCCAAGATGCAGACATGTTAAGGTATGTAACTAATTTGGAGGTGAAGGAACTCAGACATCCTAGAACGGGCTGCAAATTCAAGTTCTTCTTTAGAAGAAATCCCTACTTCAGAAACAAGCTGATCGTCAAGGAGTATGAGGTCAGATCCTCCGGGCGAGTGGTGTCTCTTTCCACTCCAATCATATGGCGTAGGGGACGTGAACCCCAGACCTTCATTCGCAGAAACCAAGACCTCATCTGCAGCTTCTTTACCTGGTTTTCAGACCACAGTCTTCCAGAGTCTGACAGAATTGCGGAGATTATCAAAGAGGATCTGTGGCCAAATCCACTGCAATACTACCTGTTGCATGAAGGAGTCCGCAGAGCCAGGCGTCGACCAGTAAGAGAGCCAGTCGAGATCCCCAGGCCCTTCGGTTTCCAATCCGGTTAACTTCTACTTTAGGGAATACTCCTGCACAAATGCCACTACCGCCTCATGCTGGATTTAAGCTTAGGCAAAAGCAACGGTATGCTTTTCTTTTTCTTTTGGTTGAACTCTGTATCCTCTCTCTTCTGGATATTCAGTTCTTTCAACTTCAAGATTGAGACTGTTATGGACATACTTCTTAACTAATACTTGGCTTCCATGCTCTTCTGTGTTAATATCCGATGCTGCATGACAATAGTTCACACTACTTCCAAGACAAGCCAGTGATGATGTAGGTTGCATTACCTTTACACTGCGTAGACCCTGTTTTTCTGAGAGCCTCTGATTTTACTGCCACTTGGATTTCTAGCTTTCTGTCTAGGAGCCCATTCTGCTCCTCCTGCTTTGCATCCAGCAGTTTAGGAGCTCGGTACTGGGCTTTAATGATGTCAAGGGAGAGTAACAGTGGACCAGTTTTTCTGTGATTTATGCTACTTCATAACTTTTCCTGTACCACTTGTTACCTTCTAATGTTGCTTGCTATTTGCGATGCCAACTCCTTTGAGTGTTGCCAACAACTCTGTCTCCCACATTAACGTTTTTCTCCTATTATAAAGAAAAAACTTTAAAAAAATAGTTTAGAAACATCAGAAAAAGTAGGCTTTTTTGTTTTGGCTCTTATTTCCAGAGTAGAGAGGTTACCATAAGTCAGTAGACTTAGAGATCTGATTTTCCTCTCTCCTTCCTTCACAACTCCTCATACTCTAACAAGTGTAGAGGGCTTAAAGGGAGGCATATTTAGTTGGAAAGAAGGGCAAATTACTTTACAATCAATAGAACAGACTATGATGGGTGCTCTAAATAGGGGAAACTGAACAAAAGGTTAGAGGCAGAAAGGAGCCAGGTAAAAATTGGGTTGAGAATGAAGACTGGGCTGACAGAGCTAGCAGTCTTATTCTATCAGTGGTAATGGGAGGAGATATTTTCTCAGGTTTGAAATAGAAAAATTGCAGGAATTTTGGAGTGTTAAATATGTTGCTTAGGAAAGGGTTCTTTAAAGAAACAGTGCAATTTTGAATGCTTTTCTCGTTTATGTGAATTGACGTACATGGAAGATTAATATTCTGCTGTTATTTCATTAATACTTGTTATTTTCTGTTAATGCTTGCTGGGAAAATTCAGCTATATAGCTTTTTTTTTTGCTTTTTTTTTAGCTTTCACTTGGGAACATTTGGAAATAATTGTACTTTCCTGTACGGTATTGAGACTTAAGTGAATATTCCTGAGTTTTCAGGTTCTCTTTTCTGTTAAGCTGTATTTGTAGTAGTGTAGTTTGGATGACGTGGTCTTTATCAGACTTGTGAAGTTATTGTCTTCATGGAAAAGTAATTCACAAAAAATACGTGGCTTGATTGATTTTCTTGATAATTTGTTCTGGTAACAACTTAGTGGATGTGTCTCTTTAATTGCATTAAGTACTTGTGAGATTACTATGTTAAATTAGAAATGTACTATTGGCATATTTGTCTTTTTTTTATATTTATGATGGTAGAATAAAAGCATGTCACTCTGCTAGATTTCCTGCCTCCAAACGTGCTTGAATGAAATTGTTCATACAATTTTTTCAGTTTGTTAATGACAGATTTTGGACTCATTAACCACTTACCAGTCCAATTATTTAAATACAGGATGACCAAAAATTGCGTATTTTAAAAAAATTTTTATAAGGTAATAGGAAATACAAAAATGACAATTTTATCAAATTTATTCCATATAGGAATCCACTGGTTGAAATAACACCTGCTCCAGCGATGCTAGGGATAGTATGTAAACAAACGCACTGTCCAAGTGAAGCTCAGGGGTAAACTAGTGCTTAAATTTCTTAAATGGGCACAATGGCCATTGTCCCAAAAGTAAGAAAATAGCATAGGACTGTATCTTCCATTTTGCTTTAAAATGTTAACATATGCAGCTGCTTATTCAAGATGTCCGTTTGTTCTGTATAGCTTGTCCAGCACAATCATCCTTACTTCCTCAGATCCTTAATTTCTGTATTCATAAATGATATTCCTAGGTCATTCCCACTATCCTTTTATTCGCTTCTACATTTAATGAAACATCCAGGGAATACCTATCATATGTGATGTACTATTCCCACTGCCTTACAGGGTATTCATAGATTATTAAAGTGTTAAAGGAGCAAATGAGCAGAATAGTTTCTTCTGTTTGCAACTTGACACTTGCAGATGAGAAGATGGGAAGCACACATGGATTATCACTTTGTAATACGCAGCTGGAAAACCAGGTATCTGCTTTATTCATTCTGTGAACTTTCTCACTACCCTCTTCTGTCCTGGTAATTGCCTTGCAATTTTTCTGTTCCCATTGGAAATATGAAATTCTTTTTTAAAATGGAGTTAGTGTACTTTGTAGATACGTCTGTTCTACAAAATAATCCAATTATTTATTATGGAAAAGTCCACAACTTGTTATTAACAGATTCTGTTAGGCCCTGAGAGACAGAAATAGTAAATTCACTCCCTTCACTGAAGTGGAGAAAAACTGATAGGCAAATAGTTGATACAGAGTGACAGTAAAATAGAGATATAAATTTTCTACATTTTCACTCTTCTTTACTAGTTTGGAGACTTTGTGAATGTAGAGACAGTGACTTTTACATACTGTATCTAGCATAATGTTTTGCACATAGTTGTTAGCAGATAAATAATCAGTGACAGAATTAACAGCTCAGATGGGGAAGAACAAAATAACCCACTGCCAAGAAATACTTGATAAAAATACTGTTTTGTAAAAATGATGTCAAAAAGATGTGTAAAGCCATTTATAAATAATGAAATTTTCCATTTTACTAGTTAGAAAAGGTCCAGACATTTTAATCATTCACCTGCCATTTTAACATTACTTTGGATCACCTTTTAAGTAATTTTCTGGGTACATTTCAAGGTAACTATTACATTGGTGATAAGAGAAGGTTAGTCTCTAGACATGTGCTTCCAATACAGTAAGAGAGCCTTTAGCCACCAGTGGCTATTGAGACCACTTGAAATGTGGTTGGTCTAAAGTGAGGAGGGCTGTAAACGTAAAATACACACTGGGTTTTGAAGACCATGGAAAAAAGTGAAATATCTCAATATTTTTCATATGGATTGCATATTGAAATGATACTTTTCTTTCTTTTTTTTTTTTTTTTTGGTACCGGGGATCGAACTTGGGTCCTTGCGCTTGCGCAGCAGGCGGCTAAACCACTGAGCTAAATCCCCGGCCTGATACTTTTGATATTGGATTAAATATATAAAAAAAAATCAGTTTTTCCATTGTTTAATGTGGCTACTAATAATTACACAGTGCTGCATGGCTCTGAGAGAGCCTCAGGGAAACAGCCCTCAGCTGAGAACTCTGTGGTTACTTACTTATTTGTGACCCAAGGGCATAAGAAAAAAGGTAGAAGCATTTTGCAACATACTTTATAGGAGTTTTTGTCGGGGGGGCAGGGCAGGAATGGGATGGTTGGTTATGTGGCACATGTTGACCTAGTTCAGGCAATCTCACCAGGGCAGAGGAAACACAACTGCCATAGCGCACATTTCTGACAGTAACTTACTCTTAATTCTGCTGACTATTGTCCTGCAGATTCTGCTCTGAACTCTAACCATGCATTTCAAGAGTTTGAGGTCTGTTGTTTTGTAAGGTCCTTTTCTTATCACATCCAGGTTCAATCACTCATTTGGCCAGTGTTTCCCCATGTTATTACTTTCTCATTGTGAATTTGTGTGTGTGTGTGTGTGATTCTTAAGGATTATCTGGCTAAAATTCAAGATGGGTAAAGTATAGATAAAAGCCAATGGGTAAAAAGAGGATAAAATATAATAAACTTGAGCACCCAAGATACACTAACTGGTTTGCAAAGTGTACTGTGCAACACACTGTTTCTAGATATAGGTGGGGTAGATTTGAGCTTAAGTGTAGAAGCTACCCTATGAGTTCATGGAGTGGAGATTAAAGACAAAAGACACAAAGATAATTTGGAAGAGGAGGACCAGAGAACTTTCACCTATAGTGGACAAAAAGCCCCAGACTGATTGTGTTCCTCACTTTTATTAGACTCGCACAAAGAAGAAGCAAGCAAGATCCAGGGTTCAGGGAAAGTTTATCAGCTCATAATTTACAGACTACACCCAAATGTGTATATTCTTTAATCAGACTTCAGCTGTATTTGATTATCTCCTTGAAGCTGGCTGGTACTGGCATGCTGGTGCACAGCCAGGGGTGGGGTGGAGGTGGCTTGCTATCTCCTTCCCCCGTGTCTCAAAGAGAGTTCAACCCAGGCCTTGGAATTTACATCTGGTTTCCCACACTAAAGTGATGGTTATATTAAGTTTCTGACAATATTTAAGACCTTTATATTCATATTTTTCTAAAAGTGGCTGTTTTTAGTTTACCAGAGATACATGATGCTCAGAAAACATTTTCTGTCATTGGATAAACCGTTTTATATACGCAACATTTTACCCATTACCAAGCAACAGAAAGGGAAAATAATTTGAGTCCAGCATTGCATCAAGTCAATTCAGTGAATTCAACCTATTCTTGGAAAGGAATATACTTTATTTTTCAAAGTCTTTTAGTGGTGGCAATCATTTTTCTTTTTGCATTACTGGAGATTGAACCCAGGGCATTTACATTACATCCCCACCCTTTATGATTTAGTTTTTATTTTGACATAGTGTCTCATCAGATTGCTGAGACTGGGCTTGAACTTGGCAATCCTGCTTCAGCCTCCCAGAGTGCAAGTACTCCTGGGGTGAGCTACCATGCCCAGCTAATTGTGGTAATCCTAACAGTAATCATTGTTTACTGGGTACTATCATAAGGATTAGATGGGCTATTAAACACTGTCCTTGCTTTTGAGGAATTCATGCTTATTGAAGGTAGGGAGTACCATTTATTTGATATTTCCTCCTTTTTTCAAGCAATTGTGCACATTCACACCATCCATCACCCATAAGCAAACTCAGAGACCAACCTGGGCGAGAGGAGATGATTAGGACTACTCATCTCAGGGCCAACTTCCCCTGCCTTAATGTTCATTTAAGTCCTAGGCTCTGTAGAAGTGACAGGTATACCGTTAGTATGAGAAGTATTTCACTTGGGAGCAGTATCTTCTCCATGTTTAAGTGCTTTGTTTCATCTCTAAAGGGCCACCTTGACCCTTCACTCTTTCCTCAAAGGTTCTCAAGACCTGCAGAAAAGTTTCCATCAAAAAAAAACGTGGATTTTACTTTTTGGCTTTTGCCTTTTTAAAAGGCAATTTCCTTGAGAACAAGTAGGAGGACATGGGCCGATTAAAAATGAAATGAGTCCACCTGCCTTGCAACTGCAAGGTTTGATCCCTGGTACCAAAAAAAAAAAAAAAAAAGAGAGAAATGAGTCACTTAAGTAAGCTACTAATTTTGATAAATGCCCAGATGCCATAGAAATGGCATTTTCTAGATATCTTAGAAATGACCTGTTGGGCTGGGAAGACACTAATTTTAAATTAGGATTAAATCCTTTCTCTGAGCTTCCGTTTGCTTATCCAAATATAGACATGATAGTGGGCATGATGAGCTAGTTTTCTAGGATGCATCTGGAGAAGGCCTAGGGTTGTAAAGAGAGTACGCGTGCATATGTGGAGCTTTCTATGTACCTGACATTTGGCTGAAAGATTCCAAGTATAATAAAGAGTTTAGACTGAAAATACCAACCCAATGCCTGGGATACAATATGTAATCAGTAATATTTCCACATATCTTCCTCTAAATTGTAATTTTTCATTTAACTTATATCCAGACAAGTAGAGTCTAATTTAATGATTCTCAAACCTGGCTTCTCTTTACATTTTGGAACATTAAAACGCCCACAAGACATTCTCTGAGACTTCTTCAGCTCCAGTCTGCTCCTCCTCTCCATTACCCTAAAGCAGTGGGGCACAGGTGACCTCCAGATTGCCAGCATTAGCCCCATCTCGATCTTGGAAAAACATATTTTCAGGCCCCACACCTGACCTGCCTGACACAGAAACTCTGGCAACCATATTTCATCACATTCTAGGTGATTCTGATGTATGCAATCTTGGGAACCACTGCCCTAACCTTGCTACTTTTGCTTCATCTGTAGTTGTTTCAGTTGCCTGAATTAAGCTTTCATTATAAAAGATAAAATAAGACATATGTACTATTAGAGAGTCACAATTTGAACTTCAGACCTTGGGGCTTAGGGGTATAGCTTATTGGTAGAGCATGTACCTAGCATGCTCACCAAACTGGATTTGATCCCGAGTGCATGTGGAGACACACACACACACACACACACACACACATCCCAAAATTGTTCTGTGTCAAGTACATCCTGCTTCATAATCTTTTAAATAAATTATTTTATATATATCAGTACCTTTATATATGCTCTCATTTTGTAATTCCATAGTTTGTTTATCACTATCCTCATTTAATAGGCAAGGAAATAGAAGCACAGCAATAGTGTATTCCCCAAGACAGAAGTCATTTTGGATGCATTC